CAAACAAACGAAAAAACGCATTTTTTCTGTGCTTGATTGAACAAAAAATCATCAATACCATGCTTAAAGTATATTTTTCTACTTGGGTTTGTTAACAAAATAGCTAAAATTGCTAAGTCAGCGGTGAGTCCTGATATGGTCCGGATACATTGTGAAAAGTTATGACTTTGAGCCTCTTTGTCGTCTATATTTCTTTCCACAAGCCTTCTTGTCTGCGTCATTACTTCGCAAAATGAGTACAGACTTGGAACCATGTCATACTGTATGTACAGTATACTAAAACAGTAGTATTACAACTCTTAACTAGCAATAGTTCACAAGAACAATAATGACGTCGTGTGCACTCCAAACAACTGTTAAGGTTGAACATGACAGTACAGTTCCAATATAAAAAGGTTAATAAAAAGCAAAGGTCAAAAATTGAAAAACGGACTCATAGCTCAAAAATGGCATAACATACGAAAACAAACACGAAATCTCATATACCATTTATCAAAATTATAGTTTAATATTGAAATGATAAATCGTTCTAGTTAGTTTGAAGCAACATTGATAAAATTAGCAACATTTTGAACAAATATAATGAGAATATTGATATATTGCATTAAGCTTAAGCCATTGAAGATGAAACTATTTCCACGCATTTTTTAGAAACTGTGTGTCATCAGGAATTAATTGATTGTTTTCCTCATGTTTCCTTACAAACTGTCACTGGAATACTCGTAGAATATTGTACTCAAAGTATACCTCTTCTTATTAAGAAAATATCATAAGCCATAAATTATTAAGACAAGAGCTCACACTTTCAGTTTTAAAAGGACACCTGCTAAACAAAATAAATACCTGATGTTCTGCGGGTTTTCTGTTATACTTGCACGCAAAAGTGAAATTATTTTAAGAAATGAATCGACAACGTATAAAGAACACGGTGTTCAGACATGGCAACAAAAATTTCAGTTTGATATCAAATTTCATTATTTTGATATCTGTGGTAGGTGACAGTTACTCCTAAAATCATTTTTGAAAATTTACATAAAGTGTATTTAAATAGTTGAAATACTGTTACTTTTGATCTTTTAACATTGAACTACGTGTGTGGAGAAATGGGCACCCATCCTTGCGTTGAGAGGGGGGGCAGATGTTCATTTTACAATGTTTAATAGTCTTTGAAAAACTCACTTTAGCACGTTCTTCTCCCAGTTATCGAAACCATGCAATTGCCCATGAAATATCAGATGATTGTTTTTAAAAAATTTTCCTTTACAGCTTTTTGTGTTAAATCGTATGCGGAAAAGCGGCAACTTTAAATAAGAAATAACATCTGCTTAAATATGTTAATTAATATGTTCATTTTACTTAAGCTCTTAACATTGCTTTTAAATATAATTGGACACGCTAAAGGTTTTTAATTTATTTCAAGCGAGGGTGGCTCTAAAAACATCTCAGTTCTTTCTGTCTTTTTTATTGTATATAACACGAGCAAGAATGCTCAGGTTTATTTTAAAGGTGTTGTTTATTATCTTAATGGTGAGTTTCATCAAAGGCAATGTGAAGTTAACAACGCGTCGTGACATCAGGCTGTCGTTTTCATATGTTATCAAAAGTATAAGTAATTCAAACATTGAAACCTGTCTAGAGCATTGCTTGAAAGATTGCTCTTGTGTTTCCTTTCAACTTTGCAAGCCCTCTATGTGTCAGCTGCTATCCACAACACTTGCTGATTTAAATACATCTCGAAATTTTTCCTGCAAGTTTTGTGAATATTTTGATTTCAAATTTTCATACGACCATGACAAGGTATCAACACTTTCTATGATTTTTATTCTATTTATATTAGTGATGCATGTAAACTTTTACTATTTAGTTCTGAAGAAAATATATATTTACTATGCGAAGTGTAGCTCATGTTTAAATTTACCATTTAAAACTTTTTTACAGATCACTTTATAAACGTCATAAATTCTTTAAAAATGTTATTTATCGTACGATTAGATATTTCTAACTACTTATATGTCTTCATTTTGACTTTTATTAATGCAATAAATATACCTATATAACGTTCGTAAACGCCCATAATTTGCACAGCTCAACATCAAGTAAGCCCATCTCAAAGCTTGTTCCATAGACTTTGATACTTAGAGAATGTAGCTCAACTGATTTTCCTGTATTTATAACCATTAGTTTCAGCAACTGCGGCATCTGTTGTAGAAAAAGGTATTATGAATCAGCAGCCCATTTCTTAATAATGGAATATGCAATTCATTTTCTTCAGCTTATTAATATATATTTCTGCTGTTGCTATTGTGTTGAGTACTTAAAAAAATGTGTTAAGCTCTATAAATCACAATGCTAAACGTGTTTACTGTCTTGACCTAGTGTCTTTGAGGTAATACAGTGTAACAGCTAGCTTTTTTGGCTATTTAAGCGCTGTGTGGTTTGGCGATCACTCGTCAGTCATTACATTTGGCCGAAGTTCCCAAACGTTTTTTCGAGTCACTCGAAAGATTTTTGTTGACCGTTCATCAAAAATTTGTCTTCCAAAAATATTTTTCCACCTCCAGTCTTTCCTACCTTGCGTTAACCAAAACTGTTTGTTTTTCTCGCTAACTTCCTGCGCCGAATAAATTTTAACTTTCTTAACTAAAATTAAAGTTTTTGTAGAAGCGGTGATGTTAGTCAAGAGATCTAGTTTTCTCCCTACAATTTGACAGCGAAAACAGAGTATATTCTTTTGTAAATTTTATACAAAAGATATTTGAGTGAAACATTAAACAGCTGTAACTGCTTTGTTTTTCAAGCCATTTTAAATTTAACGCATATAAAGCCGAGGTAATAAACAGCATGACACTTAATAAGTTCTTTATATCGCTAATCGCAAACACTGTTGTAATTTTCTCTGACAAAAATAGGCAATGCTTTTTCTTGTTTAATTTAAAAGCATTTAAATTTAATAGAGTCGCCATGGAGAAAACAAAGTTATTTAATGTTGCAAGAAATATTCATCCTTAATAAAATTGCATACCGTAAAGTTGCTACAAAATAAGCTCCAATGATGAATAGAAATATTGTTAATTGTGGAACAGTTTGCACTTTTCATTATCCATACCATATCATACAGACAGTAGATAACAGATGTGCACACACTGATCAAATAGACCGTAAGCAGTATGTTTCTGTTGTCATGATATACTTGTCTTAGTTCAACTCTCTTGGCATTATTTGTCTACTTATCAAAGATATGATAACTTCATTGCTTTTGGTGAACGATTTATTCTTTGCATGTGTACAATCTTGATACACAATTCTTTTTTTATATCTCTACCACAGCAAGCATCGCCTCGAATTTTGTATTTGTTAACAGAGAGTCTTCATATTCTTAACAACGACAACATTCCGACATCCGACAAAAACGCGAGTCGAAGTCAGTGGCGGCTCCAGTGTACGGAAGATATTATAGTCCAGATATTGTAGAAAAAGATTCAAAGTCAGATATATCAATAAAATTATATGATGACGGATATTATATTCCAGGTCACAATGCATAGTATTGCACATACACGCTGATTGAAAAAAAACAGAGGGAAAATTGTCAATTTTTTACTGATATAAGTATCTTCTTCAAATACAATGGAGATAGAAGGTTGCAAAATATCTTTGAATAGTGTCATGCATGAAAAAATTAATGGATAACAAAAAAAAACTTACCGAAAAAAATAAAAAAATACGTGTCCCTTCAAAAGTAGATTCGGTCAGTGTCCAACCATCTGTGGTGGTTTGCACAAACATGCATGTGAAGGAAATGCTGATATTTACGTGAAAAGCGGATGTTTATTTTAAATCATGTAGTGAACCGTACACCGATGAAAAACTGGAGAGTATGCCGGGAAATGCTTACGCAAGAAGTTTTCAGTAAGGAGAGAAAGATAACTATACCTGCATCACTCATCGACAGATTCAAAACCTTTAAATAGAAAATCTTCTTCTACACCAGGTGGAGGGAAATGTGCCTGAATACAGCATGCAGCACAAAAATGGCGAATGAATCTTTTTTCTTTTTCCCAAAATTCCTTAACACCATCTTACCATTTGTTTGCTAGTAACATGCCTTTGACTCTTGTCTTCTGGTTCTTTAAAAAGGATTAATGGTCCAAGCCAATCTCAATACCCAGAAATTTAAACATAAATTAGGGAACACATGGTTTTCAGTAATACATTCTGAAAAGTCAATACTCTTGAATTCAGCTTACTCTTCATTAATATCCCTGCAAGCAGCAATCTCTCTGCAACAAATACATTCTTCATCTCTATCAATTATTTATCAATGAAAGCATTTATACCTTTCAATCTCTTTCTATGCAAAAGGCTGAATCATGTCTTCATACGCCATTATTTGCTCATTTTCTGAAAATGTATCACTCTCAACAGAGCGAATACTTGAAAATTTTTAGGAATCATTTTAATCTATCGTGTAATTTGATTAGACAAATTTCAAATAATTCAATACAGAGAATTTTCATACATGAATATGTGTTATGGTGTGTTAATTGTAAGTTGATAACTGCAAAGTGATTTCACGAACGGAAGCCACTGCTTGATGCGGCTTCGCTTGTATGTATACAATGGCTACAGCTTTTATAGCAAAATTTCATGGTTTGGGGTTTCATATCTCCAGTACAATTCTGATGGGAGCCTTCAGACTTTGGAATATGGTTATTAATAATAACATCTTTCACTTGATAAAAAGTCCTATTGGCGTATGACTTACCTTTAAGAATGATAGATTTTGTTTTAAAAAATCATGTGTATTATCAAAGTTGTTCATTCCTTCAAACTTGCAAATTAAATTTCACAGCGTTTTTAACATTACAAAAACCAAAAAGCTCCTTTTAAAATATTTTCCGCATTCTGCTATAATTTAGCAAAACAAAGATTGTGCGATGAAGTAAAAGCTAAAATATTGCAAAAACTGTTATATCACGTGCGTTATCCAGTCTATTCTAAATCAGTGGTCTGCCTCCAGCTCTTCAACTTTAATATCACATACTGTTTCAGAATTGTGCACTATTGGTGACAATCCATTTCATAAACTTACTATAATTCATTCTTTTTTTAGGTCTCTTTTAATGATTATCAAAGTAGCTGCCAAACGGTATTTAATTGTTGCCAAACATCCAATTTTTGCAATAATCGAGGAAAATGTAACATTTCGTTTCAACCAAACATTAAAAAACGACCCACCTGTTTCTGTGACAAAGGATTTGTTGGTGAGCGCTGTCAGTATAAATCAAGATCGTGTTTGAGTTTTTCTGGCACTCGAAATGGATATTATAACATACCTACGTACAATGATCAAATAATTAAAGTCTACTGTCACTTTGGCAGTGCAAATACTTGGACTCTTGTGCAGTCTTACAGTTTTGAAAATAACGAGAATTATCGAAACCAACCATATTACAAGAACTTTTCTCGAAATGAAACATCGCCAAACTGGAAGGATTATAGACTGTCACTGGATACAATGAAAGGTATAATAGATGATGGCAATACCAGATGGCGTTTAAGTTGCAATTACTCATCTCATAAGCATAGTTGGAAAAATGAACGCCTTATTGCAACCCATCTGAATGTTCCAATAATTAATGAAAAAAAATCACTTTTCAAAAACCGTTGCCTTTTTGTTGAAAGGGTTCACATCCGCAAAAAATATTGGATAAAACGTTACATTCATTTAATCCAAGAGGAAAGCGCAATTTTGCATCTAAATTTAAATAAGGTGCCATGTGCGGGCAACGATGCTTTTCATGGTATTTCCTGCCACAAAAACGCTAGTGAGGATAATTTTGGATATTACGACTGCGTTAACCCAGAACACACTTGCTCATCTTCGCCGCAAGCTACAACACAATTATGGTTTGGTGGAAAAAAACGCGATAACTAAAAAAAGTACTTATAAAAATGAATGACATATTTAACATTTAATAGCAAAAGCTGGATTTTCTTGGAATTTGTAATTTGTTTTGCAAGATTTTGATTGTCTTGTAGAGTTCAGGCCAATTTTACAACGCTTTAGAACAGCAATAACACAATCTTATTCAACTTTGTGATTGACAATAAAACCTGTTTGAGTAGATTTGGTTGGTTAAATGATAAAAAAGCATTTCAGACGTATCAGCAGTGAGAGAATTTTCAACATTTGATCGTCTAAGGCCCCTCAAAGCGATAATAATTTACCCAAGCATATAATGTTTAAGTAACCCTGGGAACTAACGAAAACGATGTTTTTAAAACATTATTATTGACATGGTATATTGAGAATGCCGTTTGCCAGTTGCCACAATACAAGACATGGGTAGCACAATAAACAGCAATTTCAAGATATGTTAGCAGAATTTATTGGTTGTCTTCAAAGATAATCAAACTTTAAGACTGAGGAATGATTCCCATACGCAAATATTCAGATTGAAAAGACCACTGATCTTTCCAACAAAGAGAATTAAGTATGATTGTTTGCATGGAGAAAAAGTGTTAATGAAAGGCAGCTTGGATTTGTAGATGTTACTTGTGATAGAGCTGAAATTGCTATATCAGCATTGGCAAAATTTGGGTTGATCCATTTGAGTTCTATTGAAATATCTGGAGGGGAAAGGGGCCTGGTAACTGTTATCAAAAACATGAGTTCTAAAAGTAAATTTTGGACGAAAACTTCAACTTGAAAAATTAGTTTTAGTATTCACTCCCTCCTGATTTCTAATGCAGCTTTAATTACAAACTCTCAGAGAAAAGAATTTCGATACATAAATCGCGAAGATATGCTTTGTGGTTGTGTGGAATATGCACATTAATACTTAGATAATGTAGATAATGTAAGGTAAAGAACGTTTGTTATGCTTGAATAACCATGTAATTGAAAAATAACACTAGACGGCATTCTTCAGTGGACCGTCAATATCATCAAAGTTAGGTTTGTGTAAACTATAGTTTAAACACTAACAGACGATTTATTAAGAACTGTTTGCAAACAGTTGATTACGTTGACAACGAATGAGAATATATATGCCTAATCACCTAGATATATGGCATGTCATATGCTAAGTAATGAGATATATCTTGACAAAGTTTGTAGTCATTGAATTTTAGGTTAACTTTGCTAGGATACTGGCTAGTGTATATTAACAGATAGATATTCTGGCATGATGTTACCACAAAAAGGAAAACTATTCTCTACAACTCAGGACCAACTGATGAAGAGCACTACATTATTTTTCATGAAAATTACTACTTAAATTATAGAGTCTTTTTGCTTATTTGACATTACATTGTTTACTACTGCACGAGAGTTAAATTGTTCAAATAGTCTAAATGAAGGCAATTCACAAATTTCATAAACATAATTGTGCATTATTTGTAATGTTTTGGCATTTTGTAATGAATTGACTATCAAGTTTTGACAAAAAATTTGTTCCAGAGTCTAAAAATCATGTTTGCAGACATAAAGATCATATAGGTTAGTCATCTTCATCAAATGAGGAGTAAACATAATGTTTGCCTGAATAAAAATCAACTAAGAGACTTCGGCTGGGCGACATGTTTGTCTATTTCCTGGGCCTAAACTCAATTCAAAATGAATGGGGAAATTTTGTTAACATTTTGATGTAAGATATGCACATCTCGAAAAGAATTGCCAAATCATACGTCTGACAAGCATTTGCGTAATAAATAAAAAGATTGGACAAACATTAATCTTAGAACTTTGTAATAAAAAAAAAGTTTACCAAATATATGCCTTCACACAACAAGTTTCGTAAAAACAATACGGCAAACAATTCAATGAAAATAATGAACACTTAAAATGAACAACAACATTACCTTGCTTACTAGTCTCATAAAAGCATTGTTATGTTATGTGTGCTTTAAGTATATACCCAATTATCTATTGAGCAAGCATCCGATTACGATACAGTTAAAAGAAACTATACTAAAAAGTTATGAGTTGGTTACTGAGAAGAAGGACAAACGTATTTGGAACTTGCTAGGAAAAACGAACAGTTATTAGATAGATAGTGCGACTCCTAAAAGGTTTTGACTATCTTAGACAGCTGATTCTTGTCGAATAATTCAAGCATTGTGTTCATGATGAGCTTCGAACTTTCCTAAATGAACAGAAAGCATCAACACTCAATAACGCAGCACGTTTAGCCGATAATTTTTCTCTGACTCATAAAAAGTCATGTTTTAACAAATTAAATAATCCGTCATTGTTGCCACGAAATCAAGGTGTCCCATACATTAATAGCAAACCGCCTCTGATCGATTTCCTCTTAAAGCTTGAAATAGTATGAGGAATACTGGAAGCAGCCGAAATCATGTCAAAAATTATGAGATGCTTAATGCTACGTCAAAGTTATCCCAACAACAGCCGCCAAGACAAACAAATTTTGAATCTAGAGTCTGTAATTTTTGTAAAATGGAAGGACATCTAATTTCTGATTGTTGGAAGTTGAAGAAAAAAGAGCAAGGTCAAGATAATTTGAAGCCAACAGTGTCTCTTACATCTAAAAATTCTAAATCAAGTATTGATGTGGATGTCACGTTATGTGATAAAAATAATGAAATTATGCCAAATGATTATGCCAATTCGGATTTTGTTATGGAGATTTTTGTGCCATCCATTCATGATGGTTTTCTTGAATTTAAAGACGATTTGTTTGATGCTACTCCTATCAAGGTATTAAGAGATACCGGGTCTTCTCAATCGATTATATTGACGGATACTTTACCATTTTCAAATAATTCTTATTTGGGTTCGAATTTTTTAATTAAATCAGTAGATTATACTAATTATTCTACAATGATGCTCCATAACTTTTATTTGACATCAAAATTTGTCTCTGGACTAGTCAAAGTAGGTATTAAGCCTAGTCTGCTATTTAAAGGTGTAAATTTACTTCTTGGAAACTATCTTGCTGGTAAAAAGTTGTCACTGAACCAAAAATTTATCAAATGAGCCTTCGTTGGAAGAAATTTTAGATTCGAAAAAGGAGACAACTCATACCCCTCCTGTGTTGTTACTCGAGCTATGGTAAAAATGCAAAGCAAACTAGATAAAGAGGACAAAGCTGATGATGAAATTGATCTGGCTGATACATGTCTTGCCGAATCTTTTGAGAAAAAAAAATATGTTGTTTTTTATGATACCAGTTTCTTTCCACAATTAGGTTAATCCCAGTCGATTTCAAATCCCAATCTTATGTCAGAAAAACGAAAAAAAAACAAGAAACTAAGATTTTGTTCAACAAGGCAGTTGACGAGAATGAGGTATCAAACAGTCCTGTTTGTTATTTTTTTACAAAACGAAATATTAATGAGAAAATAGCCACCACCAGATGTTTTGGCAAATGACGAATGGGCAGTTAGATAACAAATTGTGGTGCCTAAAGTTTAGCAAGACGAAATTCTTAGTTTGGCAAATGAAACTCGTTTGGCTGGATATTTGGGAACTGAAAAAACATTACGAAAAATTTTAAAGCACTTTTACTGGCCATCAATTAAGAAAGAAGAAGCAGAATATAGCCGTTCATGCTACAAATGTCAAATCGTTGGCAAGCCGAATCAAACTATTTAGAAGGCACCCTTACACCCAACTCCAGCTCTTGAAGAACCGTTTTGCGTAGTGATAGTTGATTGCATCGGACCATTGCCAAAAACGCAGTCAGTTCATCAGTAATTACGTACTATAATGTGTGCCTCAACAAGGTTTCTGGAAGCGATTCTGCTGTGCAACATATAGGCTAAAACCATTGTGGACGTTCTCATAAAATTCTTCTTAATTTTTGGATTTCCAATGTCAAATCATTTGGATCAAGGTACAAATTTCATGGCAGGACTGTTTCAACAAGTCATGTATGAACTTAAAACCTAGCAATTTTCATCTTCCGCCAGTCATCCAGAAAGTCAGGGGGCTTTAGAACGATTTTACGAAACTCAGAAGACTAGGATAAAAACTTATTGCCTTGAAATGGAGAAATGTTGGGATGAAGGAATGCACTTACTTTTTTCTGCTGCAAGAGCGTCGGTTGAGGAGTTTCTAGGTTATAGCCCTTTTGAATTTATATTTGTTCATATGGTTTAGGGACCAATAGAACTCTTTAAAGAGAAATTTCTTTAAAATGATCGTGATTGTTTGAATATGTATCAGTATGTTTCAGACTTTCGCATCCGACTTTCTAAGGCATGTGATTTGTCCAAAGAAAACTTCAAAACAGTCAGGCCTCAATGAAAAACAGTTTAATAGGAACGCAGTAAGTAGGAAGTTTTAGTCTGGTTATTTATTTTTTATCTTAGTCTTCGTACCTGGACATCCCCTTTAGGCTAAATATTTTTGTCCTTATGTAGTAAGAGAGAAGAAGAAAAATAAAAATTATGTCATCTTTACACCTGATAGGCGCAAATCTAAACAGCTATGCCATATTAACATGCTTGAACTTTATTATGAAAGAAAAAAAGCTCTGGTTCACGCCAAGTCAGTGCAGTTACACTAGGTCTTTCTTCTATAGATAGTTCTAGTGAGCTCAAAATTTACACGACATAAAAAGCTGATCAGCTCAGACATATTGAAAATCTGGACGACAAAATAAATCACCTTGTATTTTGCTGCCTAAACCAGATGGGACATATCGAATGTATACAGATTATCGTAAAGGTAATAACGTTACAACGTCAGATTCATTCCCCTGTATCCTGAATAGAAGATTAAATCGATTGCATTGGAAATGCAAAGTACGTGACAAAACTTGATTTGAAAAGGATTTCTGGCAAGTGCCACTCACGCCTTCTGTACTTTATCAATATAAAGTTATGCCGTTTGAAATGAAAACTCCCATGGTTCGTTTCAACGTTTGAGCAACAACATCATCGCAGATCTTGATAGTTGTGATACTTACATTGATGAATTAATTATTGCAACTAAGAATGGGAGACTCACATTCAGATCATTTGTGAACTTTTTACGGGATTAACAAAAGCAGATTTGAGTATAAAATTGTCAAAGAGCGAGTTTGGATGTGCAGCAGTAATGCATTTGGACATAAAGTTGGACAAGGTCATGTCAAACCTGTAGAAGCCAAAGTTTTTGCGATTATTAACTTTCCCATGCCAACAACAAAGAAACAAATTATGAGATTCTTAGGGATGGACGGCTATTATTGAATGTTCTGTTCAAACTTCTCACGTATTACTGAACCAATGACTACACTCTTGAAATAGAATGTTGTTTGTACGTAGAATAAGAAGTACGACAATTATTTGAAACTTTAAGGCTATCTACTTCAGCGTACTTAGCATTCTACTACTCCTCATTTAGTAGAACGAGAAGTACGCTGATTAAAGGGCATGTTAGTGAAGGCACCTGTTTTATCAGCACCTAATTTCAAACTTCCATTCAAATTGGCTGTGGATGCAAGCGATGTTGCCGTTGGAGCTGTGCTTATACAAGAGGATGATAATGGTGTACATCACCAGATTTGGTTATTTTTCTAGAGAACTGAACGAAAGTCAAAAGAACTACTCTGTAGTTAAAAAAATTGTCTGACCTTAATCTTAGCTTTGCAGCATTTTAAAATATATGTTACCTTGTCTAATTCATCTAGAACTGTGTTCAGTGATTATTACCCGTTGATGTTTCTCCATAAACTCAAAGACAAGAATCAACGACCATTTCGGTGGAGTTTGCTGCTAAAAAATAAAATCTGGTCATACAACACATCAAGGGTAAGTAACAGAATATTTGTGGCAATAATGTGAACAAACGAAAGTTCTTACAAACTTTCTTTTTTCATCAAGAGGGGGAGTGTGACGTTAAGATAACACCAGGGGCGGGTTGCACGAAGCCTGAATAGCGTTATTCATTGGATAGCAAAAATTTTCAAGCAAGTAAAAAAGGTGTTTGTGTTTTTCTTACGACAGAGAAATTTCGTAATCTTGGAAACAATGCTTTATTTCAGTGATTCTTCAGTTTGAATCTTATATTTTTTGCTTTTTAAAAGGTTTTATAAAAGTTTAAAAAAACTTGCTATCCAATGGATAACGCTATCCAGGCTTCGTGCAACTGCCCCCGGACTTATTAATTAGCTATATCATGCTGACTCATTGTTTTTATATAGCTACGTTCTAAATTCAGTTACATTACGTGAATAATGTATTGTGAATAGCAATTATGCTATAATTATAAAAGGACATTACGCCATATTTTATAATTAGTTTCCAGACAATAAATAAGCAGTGGGCAGTTAGAGCGAGGAGGATGATTATTGAAAAACATTGAGCAATACGAAAGATACGGAACGCTCGTGATATTTGGCTTTTTGTTGTTGGAAGTATCGTTGTAAGGATTTGAGGACGGAGAAGAGTTAAAGATATTGTCTGAGAAGCAAAGCTATTTGTTGTTGTCGTAGACAGATAAGTTTATACTATCCTGTTATTTCTTTCTAATAGCTTTCTTTAATTTAATAATAATATAAAAATAGTTAAAGTCTTCTGTCCTTAAATCTTTCTTGTTACGGTGAACGTACCAACATTGGTAGATAATATCAAGTATTTGACTTAACTCGAAATTATTTTATATCTTTTAGCATGCTGCTTGCATGGAAACAAATATATAGTTTGTTATATTTCCCAGGAGATTTGGGTTGTAGAGTAAGACTTAAAAAATACTACAAAGCCATCTGTAAGTAATGAAATTGAAGAAAGTGAACTTTAGTCGATGAACTAGTAAGAACATATGGGTGTAAAATTTGACATATTTCACAGGCAGATCACATTTGAGAAAATACAGATCACATTTAGTTAGCGTTAATTTGAATGTGTACAAAAGCAGCTCACATGTGTTTTTCATGTTGTTTTAATTACATCCTGATAATATTTTTAAACAAATACATTATAAGAATTGGTATACTTTCATCTGTTAAAAGTGCCGATCCACTCACAAAAGCACATTGCTTGTCTCTAGATTGAGCACTAAAACGTTCTTCGCCTTGATGTAGATTACCAGCCATTTCTAAATTAACCATGTGTTTTAAAAAATTCGCCATTTCCGAGTTTGATATTAATACATTTAAAAGCGCACGAAAGAAACATATAGATACTGCGTGCGCATTGCAAATTTACTACCCGCGTACTCTCCCTTTCATTCCAAAAAAACCCCACAGACAGACCGACAGAAGCAAATCGAGATTCCACCAGCATAAAAGTCGGGCGAAGGACTGGGCTGAATCATCTCGGGATAAATGTGCTGCCTCGCTGACGTTCGCCAGCAATAGCTCTTTGAATACTACCTGCCAGGCCAATCTCTTATGTTATAAGTAATTTATTGTTTGCATCAAAAAGTCACTCTGCACAGTTCATATTTATCTTTATTTGGCCAGTTGGTTTTTGGAAGTGGTTAAGGTAAAAGGTGACTACATCTCTACTTATTTTTGTAATTTATAGCCAATTTTCTTACTTGCGTACTTTTTAAAGTTCACTTTTTCATGTCATTTAAATCTGCAAATGATGGTAAGAAAAAAGTCATAGTCAACTGAAAAATATTAATTTTATTTGAATGAATAACGAAATTTATTTTCCTCCACTTTTTTTATAGAAATTTAGAAATTCGATCATATTTTTTCCCGTTTTCTTTGCGACCCTGCAAATATTTTCATATTGCCAAAAATGGGTTTTTCCTTGCATGGTCTTGGAAGAGGCCATGGTTTCTTTATAATTGAATAAGATTCTAATTGAATGCCATATGGAAACCTACAATTGAAAACAACTGGTGGTACATTCATGTTCTTCTTCTCTTCATTAGAAGATATATTCCAAAAAAGGGGCATCACACTCGGATAGGCGTAATGTAGACCAATTACATTCTGGCATAGTGTGTTTTTCTCTTTAATCGTACGAATAAGGTTTGGCCCAGCTCTCAGCAGCCTTCCGTTATCATGAAAGGCTCTTATTCCTGTTATTTCATTTAGCCATAGTCCAATACTTTGATCACCAAACATATGACATAATAGGCTTGTGTCTTTACGATCAAGAACTGACTCCACAAGATCTTTAGTTAAAATTATAAATGATTCATCAAAAAAGATCTGACCTGAAAAATATAGAAAATTAAGTTTGCAATTTGGGACTTTTTACAGTCTTTTTTTTTGAATGTTTGTACTTGGAAACGTCATCAAAAACTACTAAAAATTTAATATTGCAAACTTATAAGTGTAGCAAAGTGCCTTCTTTATTTTGAAAGTTTTTTAAAATATCTATAAAATAATGATATGCTGTATTTGCACATCAGGATTATCTTCTAGACATAACTAGCGGAATAAATTTTAATTATTTTTTTCGCTTGTAAAATTTTATTAAGAGTTTTAAGACAAAATAGTATCCTTGTCCACAGAAAAATCTTAGTAAAAATTTTTCTTCTAGCTTTCAGGTTAATAATAATCTATTATATACATTAATAGTTAAACCTTTGATGTTAATGATTGACATTATCGAAGAGACTTTACATTTTAGTTAAGTCAAATGTTATGCATATATTTAATGATTGTTAGGTAAATTAAAAGTATGGATATTAATCGGAGGACAACACATGTTTGAGTTTCACAATAATACTTCTTTAAAAAAATTATGTCAAATTCTTGAGAAGCTCAAAATTCGTTTAAGGTTCTTTTTTAAGAAATTTATTCATTAAAGCAAGAAAAAGCAATAAAATTATTCCTGCAAAGAGCTAACTTTTAAAACAAAAACAATCATCTCATCAAGAACATTCTTTTATGAAACTACAAAAGTCATTCTAGCGTAGAAAAGTTTTTCTTAGTCAAAAATTAAGTAAGTAGTTTTATGGGAAAGAGGGAAAAAAGTGGGAGAGCGTACAACTCCTCTCTTCTTCTTATAGGCTTTAACTTTGCCAAAATAGGCTCATTTATTTTCGATAAATAAAATTTTGTTCAATTTTGTAGGTACCCTGTACTTTTTAACGATCTCCTCGTGCTTATCTATGCATAAAACAGTGACAAAATTTTCATTTATCATCTTCGCAATATTTTCAGAATTGGGGATCCAAACCCATTACAAGGTATTAGAAAATCATTACTCAGATCTAAAAATGATCGCTTTCTTCCTCTAAATCTGAATCGTTTTTTGTTCAAAAGACTTAAATCGTCATCCTCGCAAGTATGTGGTGCATCACCGTCCATGTCGTAATAGATTTCCCCAAAGCTTGTTTTACCATCTGAAGATGGTGTTGTTGCTTTCTCTGAAGCTAAACCTCATGCCTCATCTAAATTTAGTTTTCTATTCTCGGTCATACTCTGTTGCATATCCGTTAGGATATTGAAAAGCACCGAATATTTGTTACGTGCAAGGGCTAAGGGGGAAGCTCCACTATCTCATCCGTCGGTTCCATCTCTAAATATTGCTAGAGAATTGTCGTAAATAAACAAAGCAAGGAAATAATACTTAATAAGCTGACGAAATGCGAGAATCTTTTCCTATCGAAATCGAGAATCTTGACATAAAACCTTGTCTAACTTGCCGCTGTGAACGATACGACTGACTTGGTACTCTCTCTCGTACAACTTAATAACGACTTCGGCTAATGGTGAAGTAGAAAAACAACAAGAGGTTAGTGTTGTAAGCGTTGTTTAAATAACTTGAAATATGAAAGTTAAATTTTGTTCCAAGCAAGTGAAGCTGTAAACCTTAGTAAACAACGAAGTCAAAACCACGAAAACGTAGAAATGCAGCGAGGTTAGTGACTTTAAAACTTTAGAAAACTTGATTTCAATTTGCACGTTGCCCGCTAGAAGTGCTACGGTGTCCCACTGTGGCAACACAAATCTTTATTCAATGCACTACTATTTTTTTGTTTTGTGATGAATCAAAAATATCTTCTGGCGTGTTTTTTTTTGCAGCGAATTTAGAAATTTTTTCTCCGGCGAAAATTTTTTTCAGCGTAATATTGTTTGCAGCGAAATTTTCATTCGCACAACACGATCACGTGACAACTGCATAAACAGAACAGATAGTTTAGTAACAATAGTGCGACAATAACATACTGTACGAGTTGAACAATATACTGAACATAGTAATACAATCACTTTGGAAGGCAAAATTGCTGTTATTGAACTGCCAAGCTAATTCAACCAGTGACTAATAGCCAGAGGATGAAGAAAGCTTAATCTGATATTACTTTGCGAGAGGATTTCAATATAATGTCATCGTCGATTTTTTCTTTAAACGACATAAAATATCGATGTGTGAGTGAACATTACGATCACGTTTGAGAACGTACGGGTTGAAAAAGACAACCAAATTACAACATTAACGAGGTACGTGAATTAGTTCAAGAGAAGCTAAGAGGCCCTGCTGGCATAGGAGGATATTGTTCGAGGAGCATGCCATCCGAGTTGAAAACCCTCAAGTACCTCAAAGTGTTGTGGAGCAATTGATGAGGGAATTGGACCCAGTAGGTATCCAAGTCAGACGTTCAAGACGATTGCGACGAAGGACATATTGTGTTCCACGCCCGAACTATTACTGGAACACAGATGGATACGATAATTTAAACCATACGGTTTTCCCATCCACGGATGCATAGATGGATAGAGTCGCAAAATTATTTGGCTACGAGTTACTCAATCTAACAATTGATAACTGGCCAGTTTTACATAAAAAGCGTGGCCAAATTTGGGTGTCCAGTAAAATTAAGGACAGATTGTGGTACAGAAAATGGAGTCGTGGCAGCATTACAGTGTGAATTTCGGTCTCCACGGTTCACGAGAAAGAAGTTGGTTTATTTGTTATCATTGCTATTTTGCTTCTTTTCATGCAATGGGCAATGGCTCTTTTGCCACAATTGTAGGATTTTTACTTTATGCTTTAAAAAAGTAGATATTAAATCTCTGGATGTTTACGGATTTTCTGTAATTGAGTTTCATATTAAATTTCAAAGACTCAAGTTTGCATAGGTTTGATAAATAAAAGCAAACAATATTGTATAGAAATTACTTTAAGTAACCTTTTTGTGATGTTCTGAAATACGTCCGTTGGCCGCCATTTCCTTTGGCTACCTCACCCCAGTACATTTAGCCGCTCCAGTTATTATAGAACTCAATGGCTGCAAGGAAAATTTCGCTGTAAACAAAATTTCATTGCAAAAAAATTTCTTTGGAGAAAAAAACACGCCGGAAAGCATTTTCGATTCATCGCAAAAGAAATAAATAGCAGGACATTAAATAATGATTTGTGTTGCCGCTATGGGCCAACGTAGAAGTGCACTTCGAGTTAATTTGGGCAAAAAATCGTCTTTGTTTTCACATTTCAAGTATGTTTAAAATTGTCACGAAATCTTTGACGATGGCAATTTCAAATTCCGATTTTAAAAACGGGCATCGATCGGTCAGAACACGCATTGCTTAGATTGTTTTATACTTATATTTTTTACATTTGTTGGAGTTTCATTTCACAAATATCCTTTAACTCGGTTACAAATAGCTAATGTGAATTTGTAAAAGATATAAATAGTTCCTACTGAATGATCTTGATGTTATATAAAGAGCATTGTGTTAGCTATTTGACGGCTTATAACGGCTGTATTAACTAGTGTAAACATTGCAATCAGATTGAAACTTTGATTTGGTGCAAGCTGAAAAGTTTGACCTTTTTACACTAGAAACTTCGAAACTGCTTAGAGAAGTAGCTCTATCTCAATCTGTCCACGGATGACAAGCCAGCCAGCTCCATATTCGTGGCTCCACATTCGCGATTGTGGAGCTGGCTCTACATGCGACTTGAATATGCAGCTGAGATAAGTAGTTTCTAAACAAATTCATCTTGCCGCTTAACCAGTCGTGGAAATTATTATTTATAAAATGGCCGTTTTTAATCAACATGTCATTTAGTTTGTCACCAAATTTCAGAGCATAATTCCTATTTTTTTGTCCGCAAAAGCTCTTCAAACTTCAATGCTTATGTGCGAAAAAGGCAAAGGATCAGGCGATCAGCGACCGTGTCGATCCATATATTTTTAAAATCTTATTTTGTCACCTTAACCATAAAAATCCCTAGGATTTGATTATTGACCGTTCTAGAAAAGGTATTGAACTGTCATTTTAAGTAATAAACTGGGTTCTATAAAACAAAAAATCAAAAAGTTACACCTGCAAAGTCAATCATCTAATTTCAAGCACATGCAGGTTACAGTTTATAATGCACTTGCTTGAAACGACAACCTTGTTATCGTTCAATTTTCCATGATATATTGTTGTACTTTGTATCATTTGAAAGGTATAACAACAAAAATGTCCTATATCCTAAATATCCAAATGTTTTTGCCATCGCTTTGGAATAAAACTGCAAAACGAGCGCATTAATACTCGAAATTTTTTGAGTCAAACCATTCAACGCTCTATAAGAATATATAACAAAGCTATGACAATGTACGCAATGTTTACAGTTTGTGACATGTAAAAATACTTCACGGGCTTCGTATTGGCAAAGTGGTGGATTGGTTTTGGACAAATAACATCAAATGGACTTTTCCACAAAGAGTTAAAGACAATACAAGCGATTTTATAATTCCTACAAGACTTGGCTTGTTGAAACAAAACTTTATGTGCTTAGATTTGTTCTAAAGATGAATATTTTAACGCGCTGTCTAACATAGACAAAAGGCTTTACACGTATTTTGTGTATGAAAATAGATTGGCATTAATATGTTTTTGCAAGAAATACTTAAATTTGTTCATGTAATACTTTTATTATTACAATCATAATGTATCATTAACAGGGATAGCTTTACCTTTTACTTGGCATCGCAGCCAGCCCCAAGTAAATAATTTCTTTGGTCTATGATCTTGTAATTCCATAAGTAGCTTGTCCAGACAAAGGAAATAGTCGTCATCAAGTCTTAAAATATACTGAAAGTTGTAACGCTCATTCGCCCATTCATATGTCCAGAGAATTCTTCGACCAAAATTTAAACCGGCTGGCGATTCTGCTAAGATAATATCATCGTAAACGTCTCTCTCGTGTAGTAATGCGGCAGGGCTCTCTTCCTTTATTCGTTGGCCTTTCTCATCTAGTCCATCAGTAACGAAGAGACAAACAACTTTTTTATTTGCTTTACATATCGTCATCCACGAATTGCGAATAGCATCACGGCGATCTCTTCGTAAAGGAGCAGAAAATATTGCAATGAAAAGTAAGATTGGTGTTCTTGTAGTTGTGCTTGCTTTTGTTCCTTCAATAGAGAAATTGTAAACACTAATCGACGTCATAAAATCATTTAAACGTTTTGTCAATAGAGGCCTGTTTTGTAAGAATAGCCAGGTGATTGTGGTCGAAAACAACAGAACTAGTCCAAATATAACATTAACTTTTATCATAGACTTCAATGATGCCATGTTGTATTTAATGGCAGCTCTCTGTTCGTTAATATAGATGGTACATCGTGACAAGCGAATTAGCTACAGATGATTGCTTTGCAACGTCACAAGACTTTCATAACAACATGCGTGCTTATAATGGCAAGAAAAACAAACGTTATTTTAACACAGAATAGAAACGTAACAAAAGGCCCACTTAGCAAAAATTGTGGTGCATTTTTCTATTGCACATGCGCGACTTCCACAAGACTCCATCAAGATACTTTCACAAAATGAATATGGAGTTGTGTTTCAAGAAAAAGTGGTTTTACTAATAATTCACTTTAAAAACGAACGTTTGCTGAAATTTTCACCAGTTTTGGATGGTTACTTCGCTTCAAAGTCTATATTCTAAACTAAATATTTTGAGATGCTCTTTAGATTCTGTACTTAAACATTAGTAATAAATTATTGACGTAACGTGCGCAAAAGAGCTGCATTGAGTGATTGAGACCAATTTGTTGAAGAATTAAAAATTCATTGCTTAATTTGGCCTTATATTTGTATTAATTCCTTGCATGAACAAAATTTTATTTTATGTTTAATCGTCAGATCGTCCTAATCCCGGTTTCATTAAAAATAACAATCGTCCGCATTTTTAAAGGCGAAATTGGATCGTTGCGGTAGAATCAAATTCTAACTCGATGATCATCTCCATGATCCGCATTTTTCATCACTCAACCATGTTTTCATTTAATCACTGTTCCATATCAGCTCCAATGTGACAGCATGCCTGTTTTCAAGGACATTGGCAAATCATATCTGTCAGAGATCAAACGGACCTTGTCAATGAGAAATGGAAAAACCATACCAAAACTTTTACTCTGAAGATGACTACCGCTAAGGTTGTCGAAACCTCAATCAACAACAACAAAAACAGTCCTTCTCGGGACTATACCAACCTGGACGATCTACATTTACAAACATGTAACGATACTCCCGGGTTGAAACCATTTACTTTATTACGACCATTTGGACGACAGAGCGAAAATCTTTCACTATGCCGGTTAGGATTCCCTCCAGGTGTACACACTGAAAATGCCAGCGAGTCAATAAATAGAGCACAGAAAGGAGAGGACATATGTGTCAGTATTACGGGGTGATCAAAAAAATTGTCTTTAAGATAGTTGAGCGATTCCCAAAAGTTTTTAAACAAGAATGCAAATGTTCTCTCCTTTCTTGCTGTCTGTCATGCAAAAAAGAGAGGACACAATAAAAAAGCACTTTAAGTCCCTGGAGATAGGCAGAGACAGTGTTTTTTTTAACTGCTCTTTTTCACAGGTAATATATAAATATAATTCAATCGATCGTGCGCCTCCAAACAAACGTTGTTTATAGATTTTAGTAACAGATTTCAAAGCAATGAATGCAACTCCTTTGTTCTTAAAGATATATAAAATAATACGGCAAGCTTATTTGAATGCAACACTGCCATACTGAAGTCACCAAGTTTTTAATCTAGTTTAACATTCAAAAGACAATTATGATTAATTGCATAAAAGGTCGCAACAAGAAAACATCATTGTGTGACAATGCCGGTAACAAACAACCGTAAATATCCGTCAAATAATGAAAAGACTGTCTTTAGGTAGTTCACGATTTCAGATTGATTAAATGTGGTGGCCAAAAAATGTGCTCATGGAAGAGCGATATTTGGAGTTGAAATTTCGGCAACATACACGAAACTTATCATGGTCATAAATGCATGAAAATACTTGTAATCATCTAAACATTTCACTAAACTATAAAAAAGGCATAAAAATTTCACTTCGTAACAAACCACTTTAAAAGTTCATGTACCGTCTAATCCACTATTTTACCGTTCGATGATTAAATCTTGCCTATGACAGGTAACTTTAACACACGCGATAATGAAAAGTAACTTTGTAAGATCACGTCTTTATTGTATCTTTAAGGATTTTAGCAAGGATCTATTGCTATCGCTAATTGGGGGTTTCTTATTCATGTATGCATGTTATAAATCCGTAGATAATAATACATTTCAAAATATATTCATTCAGCATATCATGCATATATGAATAACAGCCCCCTCCCCCAATTAGCGATAGAAATACATCCCTGGATTTTAGTGAATCTTGTTTGAATTTCATTCGCCGCCACGCAAACCTATAAACTAATTTCATATTTAAGAAAAGACCAAACAATCTTCAATCATCCGATTTTCAAAACAAGTTGAACGCACTTAATGTGGTCGCAAATGTTTAAAATTCCAACGTCACAGCTTTTCGGGACAAAATTTCACAGCAGGATTAACATTTCTCTCTGGGCTTTGAATAAATTATGTTGAACACATAATAGATTGCAAATTTTGGATTGCAACAAACCTCCAGGGAATTATTGAAGAATGTGGCTCACCCACGATAGCTGGTGCCCACAATAGCATTAATAAAATATTCCTTTGTATCTGACCGCCAACTACAAAAGTGGAAATAACAATGTATTGAAAAAAATTTGCATTAACAATTGTTGTTGCATCGCCATGCAGTAGACAGTCAAATGGGAAATCAACTTTTATTACTGATACAGAATAAATATAACGGATTCTTACGGCGGTTTCTTGCTATAAGATTTATACACGTAACTTAATTTACTTATGTTTTGTTTTTCTTGTAAAAGTGGACCTTTCGCTGAAGTAATATGAGGCCTACAGTGGACGGCCATTATTCTTGGATTCAAGTGATTTCGTCGTTTATATACCATGTTGTCTTCATCGGCGTTTCTTTTTCTTTTGGTATTTTCTATGTTGAACTCTTGGATGAATTTCCAGGCAGCGAAAGCGAGGCCGGTGAGTGTAAATTAAAGAAGTCAGACCTTCATTCATTCGATTGCTTCATCACTCTTATTTTATAGTCTTAACGGAAGTACTAATTCAATTTGTTCAAAGTGGAATTTAGATTATACTATACGCAAACAGTATCAAAAGCAAAGTATTTCATCCTTCGACAAAATTATAACAATGATTTGTAAGTGGACTAAAACGCAGTACAATTAATTGTTAAGTATAAAGTATGATTATAGCAGTCATTTTAAGAATGCTGTAATGTTTTAGGATTATGCCTCGTATATATTACTTGCAATTTTTAAAGAAAGTGGAATAGAATCTGAAAAGGTAGTCCTAATGCAATAATCTGCTACCATAGGACAGTTTTAGTTCATCGGTTAATCATTGAATGTGAAATATTTCAAATTAGAACGTGATCGACAGTAAGTGATGGATTCGGCCGATCAATCGGCCAGTTCTATAAAAGTTCGTAATCGGCCAGTTGTTTCTTGCTTTTCGGAAATTTATGTGTCAAAGCGCAAGTAACAAACACAAAATTAAATACTGAATATACGATTGTGATGTTGCACTGAGCGGTATATTTTAAGTTTCAAATGGCTGACTTTCAAAAATTAATTAAACACTGGCGTATTAGCTGCCGAGCATCAGCGAGGCAGCACACTATCAAGGAATAGATACGTAACAGAAGCGGCACACAGCGAAAAATCTGACCCCCCATTTGCACCCACTTCTAAAATGCGCATCCGTTGCGTCTGCTATTACTCCAGCCAGATAAAATGGCCAGAATGCATATATGTTAATATTATGGAGAGTTGTTTTTCGAAAATCTGACGAATGTAAATTCACTCATGGACAAAATTTTCGAAGCTATCGGACAGGATACATAGGATATGAGGTGAGAAACAATTTTGTTGTAAAATAGGTTCGTCAACTGTAATTTTACGGGTTTTATAGTTTCTTGCATTGAATTGTATGCGAAATTCATGTTTAGAGCGTCTCTTATATTGAGTGGCAATTACCCTAAAAATTTATAATTTAGCACTAATACAAAAGGTAATAAATTTATTTAGTGTGATTCCATTTTTGTATTTTCTAGCAAAGAGTTTCCTATTTGAATGGTCAATTAATGGATTTGTTAGAAGCAATAAAACGACCTACTGTTAGTAAAGAGTGTTGTTCAGATGAAGACGTTATTAGTATGGAATTTGGACTAAGCTACTTGTATATTTGATGCTTAAATTGAGATTTTCATTTGCAATGTAGCTTGTCTGCATAATTGTAAGTGAAGGTTTTTATTTGTAATTGTAAATTGCGTTCCTACGGCTATGATGTCTGACAAATTTGTATCAACTTACAAATAAAGATGTTTTTTGTTGTCTTATTTTTAATAAACAATGTATGAAATTAAAATTATTTAAAGAATGAACTTATTGATAAATTGTTTCAATTAAATTAACAACTTGTTATTACATCAAACATTTTGTCAAACTCCCACAGCTTAGCTCTTTGATTATACTTCACTTGTGAGTTGTGACCAACAATTTTATATGAAAAATGATTAGAATTATTTTTGTTTCACCACATTAATCAACCGGCAGAGAGCAATTATTGCAACAAAGGGCTCGAACATTTACTTTTTACTAAAATCCATAAACTTTATTCAAGAAATCTAAATTTTTAATGAAAATAATCATGTCATAAGCAGAACATAATCTGACAAAAACCAGTTATAGTTACTCTTAATGCCATTATTTTAATCGTAATACTTTACACAGTAAATTATTTAGCAAAAGGTGAAACACATAATCGTAGCAAGTAAAGCAATGGAAGCGGATATACATATGCTCGCTTGAGATTGGCGTTTGCTTTTCCGAGAGCGTGACACTTATATAGCAGTGCATTTTAATATTTTAAGGAAAAAACATTAGTTTGCGAAAGACAAGGACTCCAATAGTTCCCTTTCCCTTTGTTTAATGTAATGTGTAATCAGCTCTATACAACTAATCAATTCCATGTCTATAATCACTGCATGTATAAGGATGTAAATAGAATGCTATTGGTGCCATGAGTAATGCTGCAACATAGATTATACCATTCAAGTTTGTATTTGTATTAAAGTGATTCCTTGCAGAAAACAACTGATTAAAACGATTCCAGACAAAATCAAATAATGTACTTACGCACAAACACTGGGAGACTGAGAGATGCGTATATGACACCATAAAATTGATGCTGTTAAATGAAGAATTGCTTTGGTTGTTAGCATGCAAATTTTTGTAGAATGGACTTTGGAAAACTGCTTTTCCAACTATTCTCAATTTAATATTAGCAACTATACATACATACAGTGTTTCTTCTTGCTTGTTCTTTTATAAATTGATTTAGTTATATGAGAATTTGAAAAAAAAGTGATACAATTAGTTTGTCTATATTAAGTGATAAAATATACAAGATATTGCATTTCGTTGCTCATCATAACAATTGCATGTTTTAAAAATTGCTTTTTTTACATTTGGTCTTTTGTCGTTTATGGCAGATAATAAATGAAGGAAAACATCCAAAACAATTTAAAGAAGGCAGTTTTTGCCTTCTCGGGGGAGAGGCAGCAGTTCCTTGCATTTATAACTCCTAGTCCAATTTGTTATGTCATGCTACCAAAATCTGTTGGGCTTGGTCTTTTTGCAAATTAGGGGCCTTGTTATTTTAAGTGATAGGGGTTGTGTGAAATCGATCCCAATAAGATTTAACTAGATATTTTTAGAGTCTCTAAAATTAATAAAGAGCACAAATTTTTAATGAATATTTGATTGCATCCTGCAACTAGATGGATTTATATTGTAAAAAGTGAAGAGTTCGAAGCCAGGAACACAACGTTGCATATTTTTAGATAAAAAACGTTCATGTTATAAGAGTACTGAAAACGACTATCGGTGATGTTGACTGACGTTTTGACAGTCTTAGAGATGATCATTTCAGATCATTTTCTTTAAAAAGTCAAGGAGTTGAATTTTCGATGACATTGAATCGAGAAAACAGCTGAATACAGAATTCTTAAACTCTTATGAAAAACTAGTAGTAATTCTAGAAATTCCAGACGCGTTTTAACATTTACCATTTTTTCCCACATAACAAGTTTTAACACAATCTGTTTTGATAATGTGCACAGCTAAAAGTTCAAATTGCTGATGTGTATAAACTTAATTAAGAACTGATACAAAAACTTCCATATACAAATTAGCTTTCAATGCATTTATTCTTGTTGTATGAACACTTCAAGTATTTTGGGTAGTTCACGATAAGCTTTAAACTTGAATTAGTGGGGATTTTTTCGTAGTATGTTAAAAATCTCTCAACTCTACCCTCTAAATACAAAGAGTTCTTTGTGCTGACATATTTGAATGTCGCCTTGAAAAGAACAATTGCCATGGCGAATGGCCCGAAACAAAAAAAAACTGAAGAGGAAAATTTTAAAAAACCCTCACGAGAAAAGCAAGACAAAACCAAGAGTTCTAAAAAGAAGTGTCAGCCGAATTTCTAAAACAGTTTTTTCCAACGTTTGACTTAGTGTTCAATCTCTACCAAAATTTTCTATTGCGTATAAATGTAATCATATGTTATTATTGTGGAATGACGAATTAATGTCTTTTTACTGCAGTGTTGTATCTTTTATACTCAACATCAAATTATTTTATCAATATACCACTGTTGCCTTTTACACACAATAGAAATTTTTGAGATTGGCCAACATATAAGTCTGAAAAGTTTCATTGAAATAATTTTAGCCAAATAGTTTTATTTCCAAACAAACTTCTTAAACTTAATGAATTATAGTAAAAAGTAAATATTAGTTACCTCTAACTAGCTTAAAAAAATTAGAAAATAACTAGAAAATTGTGCGATACACCTGAACACATCTGCTATCTCAAAGCACTTAATTCAAGTGATACTTTTGGTTTGATAGTGTTGTGAAAGCTGTCAATCTAAGCTGGGCATCATAACGGAATGCAGGATTTTTCGTGAAAATCATGCAGAAAAAAAATTGATGTCGGTTTTGTTCTCAATAAATTGACACGTGATTTGCATTACACTGCATTTTAGTGTAGAAGTAAAAAAGGAAAAGGTGTGGAAGGTAACATAAATTTTACTGACTGCATGCAACTTATTGCAATAAGAAACGAATCTATTTTTGCGGAAGGAGATTTCTTTGAAAAATAATACAATAAGGTTGACGGAGAGGCCTTTAGAAGCTCTTTCCTTTTTATCAAATTAAAGGCAAAGAAATATGAAAAACAGATATCTTTATTAGAATGTGACCTAAGGTTTGCAAAATTGGCTATTCGCTTTCAAAAGCAGCAAGCTTAAAGTATTTATGCAATGAATTTTGACTAACCTTTTTTCCCTTTAACTAAAAATCTTTAGAATAAGTTTGATATATAAATGAACAATTTCTGTTGAGGAGAAGTTAGTAAATTTTCCTGCTGAATACCGACCTAATGTGCGAACGTTTCAAGTTGCCATGTAAAGTAGTTGTGACGTCATATGTTAATATGCATTATAATGTTGCTTAGAAAAAGATTACTACGCAATTACTTTTTGATAATATGCTAAAATAAGTATTTGAGATACAGATGGCTTGAAACATGGTCTTTTATAAATGATATTTCGTCGGAAAAATTTTCTGTTGTGTAAGTCTATATTTGAAATATGGCATGATGACTATTTCTCCATGCAATTTAGTTTGGTTTTTTTCATGTTAATCTCACAAATCTTGAGTGAATCGCTTAAAGAAAAAATTACACGAAAATCTTATTGAATTTGGTTTTGTTTGAGTTTTTGGGCTTGGTTGGTATGCTTTTAATAGCTTCACAGAAATATTAAAGCCAAGCAAAATGCTTTTAAAAGAGCCATTCAATACAAAAATGATGTATAAAAGTATTTATTTATTAGCGTTTCGTCATTTATACGTCACTTTTGTATCGAATGGTCTTTTAAAAGCATTTTGTTGGATTTTAATATTTAAAAGAAGAGTTTTCTTCCCGCTTTTATGTCATAGTTGTAAAATATAAATTACCGATAGTGCTGTTTACAGTTTTAATTTCAATTATTTCTTTGTGCAGACACTAAGATCTATACTAAATCAAGGCATAAAAAAAAATACTGTCCAAGTTACCAAGTTCAATCTGAAGAGAGTGTATAAGTCATGTTTATTCAATATTTTAGTTTTCTTATTACAACAGAAACAGCCCTACTACATAAATAACATGTAACAACTACGATATGCTTAAAATAATCTTTATTTAGTTTGTATCTCTACTCAATTATTTCAAATATTAATGATTATATTCTTTATTTTGACATCAAACAAAGTTACAGACAAACTCATTACCCTGAAGATTCCTCATAACTTTTCCATGGACAATGTATCAACAAAATTTTCAGGCTTTTTTTTATCATACATACGGTATTTCATAGTTAATACTGAACTCCTCAGGTAGCCAATCTTTCAAAATAGTTCTTCATGATTACCTTCAACCAGCTCATATTTTGTCAAAGAACTTCATTTTCTACCAATAATTGCAATTCTGTTTTAAAACGTCTTGTGAATTTAAGTCAAAAACCCTTTGTCGGGCAGCTTAGTAATTCTCGCTTTTGTTAAGAACGATTCACGCCAAATCATTGTGGAAATCAAATATTTCTTCTTTGGGCTTTGAGCGTTTTAGCCAAAAAAACACATTTACATAGATCAAAACACAACTCATCAAAATACGATGAGCAGAGACATCTTCGAAGATGTAAAATGTTGTCGAACAAAATTAACGTATTCTTGGCCTTTGAAAGTGTATTCTTCATCACGAAACCTATCCCAGGATCTTAATTTTCATTTTTCAAAGAATTTGCAAAATTTAACTAGTTTTATTCGCCAGGAGCAGGATTTTCTTCTTGATGAAGATTTTACTATAAATTCTTGACTCCATTATAGAAGTGTGTTTCACTTATGACATCACAAGTTAATAAAATGGTGATTTTAAAGTTTGCACAGGGCATGCCAAAAATGGAAACTTTGGACAATGATAACTTTGGATTGAAAAAGTTCAATTTTATTTTTAATTTCAAATGTGAAGTGAGCATGACTGTTTCTTTTCATTTAGCCAAAAAATCAAGGGGTGAAAATTCGTTACATCAGCACTTTAAAAAAAAATTCTAAAAGCCACTACTCACCCTAACATGATTATTATTATTATATAAGTCGAGCAAGTACTATACAGATGCTTCTATTGCTCTTAAATGAGTTTTGGTTTGCAACTGCATAGTGTTTTTGCTCATTCCTCCGTGTAACAAAGTTAAGCCCCTGTATACGGTCATACTTGAAAATATTTACTTTTACATACCTCACCAAACATGTATGGAAAAAGCACATGCAAGAAAAGAATACTTCACAATCAGCACTGTTAAAATATTCTATTTCAAGTCATCCAGCTAACATCTTGACAAGAAATGTAAAGTTAAATAGATGAACATAAAAATTTTTTGCAAATATACTGAATTTATTTATCTGTCTGTATTAGGGCTGTTCGGTTTATTGACTATTTACAAAAATGGAGATTGCCAAACTAAAAAATAATTCGTGCCCATTTCAAAATATCTGCAAATCAATATTGCTATTTTCTATTTTCGTATTGGCATATTATCAACAAAATTTTATGTACCAAAATATATATTTTTAATCTTCATGTTTAATCCCAGAATTCTGTTTTTTTATTTTTAAATACTAAAGTATAACTTGTATCATTGCAAGTGGATTTACATGATGTTATTATAGCACCTTAGGAATTGTATAGTGGATTTACATGATATCATCTATATAGTTTTTATAATTTGAGATACAAAATCTTGTATACATTTCAGCCGAAATATGTCCTCATGAAATAATTTCTTTTGTACGGATTGAGACATTCTAATCCAAAGGTGGTCAATAATTGGGTTATCCTCAGATTCTATTCCAAAGGTTTATCATTTACATAAAGTTGAAATGAGTATCATAAAAAAGTATATTTATTGAAAAATTGATTTACGAATTTCTGCTACGCCTTTAGGCCACGGAACGTTTTTATGATTTTACACCGTCTTTCTTATTTAACCAGGAAATGCAGCTGAAAACAAAATTTGAACATCTGTTTTGCACGTATAAACATTGTGTCTAAAATAAAAAATGGAGCACAGAGATTCATACATACGTATTGAATTTGTTTGCTGCGTATATTAAATAGTTTTTTGATAGCTTGTAAAAAACGTTTCACGCACTAACAAGCTTTAAATTGGGAAGAAAAAAAGCCTGTCAATGCATTAGACTTACATTCATTAATCGAAAATTTATTATGCAGCGAACTAATTTAAAATTTATTCCTAATTATCCGTGTTTTGGCTTTTTTAAACACTATGTATAAAAGTTTTCTCCAGAAGCTTAGGCCTACCTCCGAGAACCTGAATTTTTTTGCTTATATCTTAATAACAGAAATCATAGTACCACAGAATAAACATATAACAGAAAACCCGCTCAGCTAAAATCATGGCGTATATTTTCACTACGCATGCGTGGCTTTCCAGCAAGATACTTTCACAAATCAATATGGAATAATATTGCACGAAAATGCTTTTTTACTAACAATTCACGTTTAAAGCAAAAGTTTTCCGTGATTTTTACGAACGTTATCGTATTGCGAAGGAGATAAGGTTCCCAGCTTTTGTAGTGCAAAATGATGTTTTTGTAAAAAGATCAATAATTTATATTGTAATGTAGCGAAAGTATCTTACAGGAGGACATGTCGGCTTCGAATTTGCTCCAAAAAAGTAAGCGACAAAAACATCAGAGGCTCCCACACGAGTGGACCTTCTGTTAAGATATCTATTTTGTGATAATATGATTAATAAACAATATATGTAAATGGCACTGCTATATATGAAAACTGCAAAATGAAACACAATGATGTTTGTGAAAGAATCTAGAATATATTGTCTTATTATTCAAATTTTTCATAAAAATACTGTTCAATTTTTTAATAAAATAAGTTTATTAATTTATGTAATTTACTTGCACAATTCAAAATATTTGTATTGTACAGGCATCGTCATAAAGTATTGCACATAAACAGTATCATTGTTGGTCATTTTGGAGTATTTAATTAATAGTTCAGAAATTTGTTTTTATAACATGATTTCGTATTTTCCCTTCCCTAAATCATTAAATATTTTGCTGCTGTACTTGAATAAAGTAAGAAAAATTTTTATTTACATTTGTAAATTCTTTTAAACAAACTTAATATATAATAATCTCTACAAATTGAAAAATATTGGCAACAAAAATCACTTTAAATAGACCTATATATTTATCAAGATGACCAATAAAAACTTTAAAACGTGTTTTTGTTTTTAGCTTGGATCACAAGCATAAATTTTGCATTTTTAATGTTGCTTGGCCCGCTATCAGTGCGTGTTTTGGAGAGGATTCCTGTACAAATAGTTTCTTTTGTTGGATCAATTCTTGGCGGAGCAGGTCTTTATTTATCGTCTAAAGCAACTGATATTTTGACGTTGTTTGGTACATTTAGTGTCATGCATGGCATTGGGACACACTTGTGCTATATATCATCCATTTGGATCATCCGGAGAAATTTTTATATGAAAAAGGACGTTGCATTAGGGGTAGCAAGCGCAGGAAGTGGTGCAGGAGGCGTATTATTTGGAGTGATGCTTCCTGTATTGATACAGTCAAATGGATGGCGTATGTCAATGCAAGTTCTTAGTTACATTAGTTTTGCAACAGTTATTCTTTCTCTTTCGATGATTCCTGCAGAAAAAGAAAGCCAAGTTAACACAGTAAGAACTGTAGAGTCTGGTCAGTCTTGTGAAAGCGCTAACAGACCAAATTTGAATAAAACGCCCAGTCCTTTAAAAAATCCCGCTTTTCTAGTGCTCAGCGTTTCTATTATGATTAACACGTTCGTCAGCAATATACCTTACTGTCATATTGTAAGTATACCATGACATACATTTTTTAATTAAAAGAGTTGTTCATATGGTAAGACATCTGTGTTTTTGTTATGTAACCGTTTAACATGGTAATTTTTCTGATTTATTAAAGATTATTTTATGCAACCAATTAATTAATTTCGTTTTATTTAATTAATAGCCACTTTAAGTTAACATTCAATTTGGTTATTTAATAAACAATAAGTTTCAAAATGGTTTTGAAAAACAAATACTTTAGTGAATGGTGAAAATGATAGCATAATACTTCCTGAAAGGTCTGTTCAAAACCAGAACCAACAATTCTGAACAAAACGGTCATAGCAATGCTCATTTGTTTTTACTGGATTTATTGAAGTTTTTTTACTATATTATTAAACCTTATTTAAAGGAACTATTTTCAAGATTTTGTTTTCTGATTTATTTTAATAGGTAAACTATGCTGTACAGCGTGGTGTAAATCGACGTAAAGGAGATTATCTTCCACTTTTTATTTCTGCTGGTTCTCTTGTTGGCCGTTTTGGCCTCGGAAGACTGGTTGGCTTTTTTGGTTTAACGCGTCTTCGACTGGGACAACTGGTATTTCTCTTCCAGTCTCTGGTAACAACGTTTCTTACTTTAGCAAATACTGCACCAAGTTTGGTTGCAATTTCTGTGCTATTTGGAATTTTCGATGGAGCCTTTTGTTGTCTAATATTAATAGTCAGTGATGATGTTTTTGAAGATAACAAAAAAGCATTGTATGCAATGGGACATCTTTTTTGGATGCTAGCTTTCCCGTATGCTTTTGGAGCACCGATTTCAGGTGTGTTAATTTTTTAACGTTTTGATATAGTCACGTCTTTAACTTCTTTCAGAGAGTTGTTAAGAAGAAAAGATACAAAATTGAGATAATTGGTATAGATTGTCTAAAAGAAATATAAGCTCGACGCGACCTCTTAAGAGAATGATTGATTTCATGGTGGCCATAGAAGTTTATATTAGTGTGCTCGTTTTAAATTGATTCCTGGTATTGCTATACAGGGTGTATTAAAAAGATTTCTGAGAAAAAGTTTTCTAAAACAAGACGGACTAAGCGGAACATTTGGTTAATCTAAATACTTTAAAGATCTCTGGTACTAAAGTTTCAAAAATGCAGATGTTTTACACGTGAATATCTGCTGTTACAAAGTCTATCAATACAGGCATTTTTGCACAAAAACTTGTGATTAACAAAAATTTAACCGCCTGTCAAAATATGGACTGTCAAGTTTAAGCAATCTTAACTTCAAGCAATTTTGTACAAACGCTTGCCAACGCAAGCTGTTTAAAACTTTTTGCGTTTTTGCACTTAACACTAAAGGGCTGATTACATAAACCCCGGTCGCCGAATCTCAGTTAACCCTTTAGGGGTTGTTTACATGATCCCGGTTTACTAGATTCAGTAAGGCGTGAAATGATTTCGAGGGATTGATAAGAGGCAAAACTTCATAGTTAAAAATTACAATTGTTTGTTGAATGCCACAAGTCATTCTTGTTGTAATTATCAATTGTTTGTTTTAATTTTAAATGTTTTGCGTAGTTATTAAATCAGAATATAGGGAAATTTCTCGAGAAGATTTATCTGATTATAAGTATTGAATCGTTTCCACTCGCCAAAACTATTTAACGCTTGGCTGAATCCCGGCTACCTGGGCTCATGTAATCAGCCCCTAAGTTTTACTACTAAAAATTTCTACCTTTAGGAATTAGCTTTCTATTTTTTTATTTTACTTCATGGAAATTTCCGATGTGGATATAATGAATTTAAAATGATCTAATGAAACTGTTTAAATGGCTTGAACTTAAAAAGTAAGTAGTTTATTAAATTATTAATTGCAGCCTTGTGGCTAAATTACAAATATCTAAATTAGTAAAGTTATAATAACAAATAATATCTAATATCTAAAATACAATAAAATTTTACAAAGTATTTACATTTATTAAATTTACAATTATAAAAATGGTACTCGCTAACACCAACAGAGACAAAGAAAACTCCATACCTGGCCACTTTTGTGTAAAAGAAAAAAAGAAAAAAGCAAATTAACAATAAAAGTTCTTGTGTAAGCGTTTAAGAATAAAAGTTCTTGTGCAGAAGAGCTAGTGCTACAAAATGCTTGAAACTTAATAACTTATACAACGAAGTCCGAATTTTGACTCAAAATGATAAATTGCTTTTTCAATTACTTTGTGCGCAATGCCTGTTTTGAAGGACTGTTAACAACATGCACTAATAAATAATCTTACATTTTCAAAATGTTCATTATCAGATGTACCAGAAAACATTAAAGCAATTCTAACAACAAAACGCCTTTGCTTATTCAACGCACGTTTTGTTTTAGAGAGCTTTTTACAAGAGTCGACTTTTTAGATAAATCCTTTGTAGAGCAATTGTGCGGTGCATTGAGATGGGAACACTTAGGATGGCTAAGGGAGGGAAATCAACATTGGTTTAGTTTATGTTAAATTTTAAAAATTTTTGTCCCTGCAAGTCAACCTTCGTAATGATATGAAATATAAATTTAGTGATGTACTATAATTTATTTTGTGCACTATTATTTTGCTTGATATGACTTGGAACTGTTAATTGCTGAGCATCTTAACTATCCCGTCATGCATTAACATTTGTAGGAGGCACACACTTAAGCCAATAGTTACAAAGCTTTTTCGGATATCTGTCATATCAGCATTGTGTCCAAAACAAATATTTTTTCCTCCATGATTTTTGCCATCAAATAAATAATTTTTGTTATAACAAGCAAACAGCGGGTTAAAAATTTAGAGCTAGCAACATGAAATCTTACGACATATTTATTAGAATTTTAATTCACCATACACAGTGTTTCGCGCCTTCCTGCTCAACACAGAAAAGGTCTTCCGTTCAATGTTTTAAACACACTTGACAGTTTAATAATTTGAATAATGTACGTCAGCAGATCATGTCACGATAAATGGAACTATTTTTTTATTGTTTTTATACAACTGATGATCGCAGTGAGTCGTGAAACACTATGTAGTGAGTGGTTTCATGATATTGTTTATTTTACTTTTATAAATTTGCTTTTTTCTCTTTCAATAAAGATATTGAACACTCTTTTTTATGTGTACATTTCTATATAGTAAAAACTATATGCGTTATTTAATTTTTATTTTAGCTATACTATACAATGAAACTGGAAGTTACAATGTCCCATTTTTCATTTGTGGTGGAGTTCTATTTATTGCTTCGTTACTTGTGTCGTTGGTAGAGTATATTCTGGAGTCACAAAATACGAAAATGACACATAATGTACAAGAAAAGAAGATGCTTTTTGCCAATCATTAATAATGTTGCTGCCACAGAAGTTATTAGTCGTAACGCACATATCAGTTCTATGTCATGCACCTTGATAAATTCAATTAGAGAAAAGTGTGCTTGCAATGATAGAAGCTCGATTATTTAACAGTTCTGTTTTCTACGGTCTTCGGAACTTGGGTCTTCTAGTAAACCTCTTTGATTGTCTACGGTCGAATTAAAAATGAAATTATTTGTCATGTCCAAGGAGTTTCAAAACCAAAGGCTTCGCAAAATATAAACTTTATAAATTTGAAAAATATAAATAATTTTTAAAACATGCCATAACTAAATATATTTTTTTAAAAAAGCTACTGAATGTATAATACAACAATCATGTACTGCAGTGTATAAACTTTATGATATCAAACGAGTGAATCAATAAAAATCGTTAAAAAATCATTCTCATCATTAAGAAAATTGTTTTTGAGGTTTAGATCTAATAATTATACAATGTATCTAAAAATGGAAAATGCGTTATCTAATCATTTGGCTAAATAACTTTAACAGTATTCTGATAAAATTTCTTCAATGTGCTGACAGGCCAAATTCTTTAAAGAAAATGAAACATAGCCTGTCGTTGCATTGAGTGAATTCGAAATTTAATTAAAGTACTGTTTGTTTTCTACTGTTAGACTTATTATAAAACAAGATGTGGAATACTTCTTTGTTTCGTTAATTTAGACCCACCGTATAGCATAAATGACTATTTAAGAAATAAACAATTTGATTAGTCATATGAAAGTCAAAGTTGACCTTCTCACCACTGTGTGACTTCATAGCTAAGTTGGTCAGAGCACTGCACCGGCACCGCAGAAGTCATGGGTTCGAATCCCGTTGCGTCACCTGAATTTTTCAGGTTCATGAGACAATTGCTTCAATTGTCCAGCAAAGTGCGAAGATCATATCTTCATTTAATTTCAAACACCGCACTGCATAAAACACTTTCATATACATTCCTTTCACGAGAAAACATGAGCCCAACAAAATTGACCTGCTCACCACTGTGTGACTTCATAGCTCAGTTGGTTAGAGCACTGCACCGGCACCGCAGAGGTCATGGGTTCGAGTGTAGAGTCACCTGAATTTTTCAAGTTCATGAGACACTTGCCTAAATTGTCCAGCAAAGTGCGAAGATAATATCTTCATTTAATCTTCATATAATTGATTAGTCATATTATGCAATTTAATTTCTTCTTGAAAGTTAAAAATCGAAAAAATAAAGTAATTTATAATGTATTTTCTAAATTTGAAACGATTTTCACTGGCGTAAAACTTTGCTGAACTCAGTACATAGATTCTGGCTACATGATCCTGGGTAGCCAGGATTCAGTGAAGCGTGAAATGATTTCGAGGTATCAAAAAAGGCCAAAACTTGAGGTTAAAAATTACAAATGTTTGTTAAGCGCCAGAAGTCGTTCCTGGTGTAATTCGTAAATTAAGCCAAGTTGGTTATTTTGATTTTAATTGTTTCGCGCGGTTATTAAATCAAATAATAGTGAAATTGCTCGGGAAGATTCATCTGATGATAAGCATTTAATCGTTTAGATTTCTCAAATCATTTATTACTTGACTATATCCCGGCTATCCGCTCATGTAATCAGCGCCTTAAGTCTCTTACCAAGTTTAACTTTCTACCTCTAATAGTAGACAACTTGCATTATTACGTCTCTTGGGAAAAGCGCGCGATGCATTTTTCTCTAAGTAGTCACTCTCATGAAACCTGGCAGTATGGCAACTACCGAAAGAGAGTTTACTGCTGTTCCTAGACACGTTTCTGTGTGAAGAAGTACGACTGAAGGCCTAAGTTCGTTTGAGACCTCTTGCCCGGGTCTTCAGGAGAGTTTTTTTTTTCAGAAAGTTGCAGCAAATCTGCGCTAGAGGATGTATCGTCAACAGAACGAAAAGGTGGTGGTAACTTGTTGCTTTCCAAACAACGAAAGAAATAAAGATATTGCAATGTTCCTCGAGGTCAAAGTAAGAGGTCTCTAGATCTTCAAAGAAATGGATCAATCTTATTTCTCGCAAGGATTTTATTCCAACGACCGGCGACCGAGTGCGTTCTTTACACTTCCCAGGAGGACGTAAGACGTACTTAACTCAATTACGAACTATTGTTCTAAAATCCACAAAATTTTCTCAAACTAAAAATTCGAACCTCTTTTTGCTCTCGGTGAGATTGAGTCCGAGTGAGCTTTTAAAACATTGTCCAAATGAAAAAGCAAGAATTAGAACGCCTTTCGTTGGAATTACAAAACGCTTGAAACCAAGCAGATTGTTTTCTCAAACTAAGATAGACAATGACCCCACACCATCATCCTTCCTCAACAAGCTTATGAGTCCAGAATAATTCTTTGTTCAGAGGAACTAGAAGTTGAAGCAAACATTTCATCTGTAATTGCAAATAATTGTTGTTGACAATCTCTATTTGACGAATGACATTGGCTGTGTTGCAAAAAATTCGGTTTTTTGAAAGGCACTTACTTTTGCGTCATGGCTGTCATGCATACATCTTCAATCAAGTGTTTGTAAAGTTTACAAAATCCTTCATAAAGTGAGTGAAAGGGGAAAAAGCTGAAAGATAATTTTGGGCGTGGAGATACAAGAAGACTACTTCGATGGAGAATAAAATTTATGTAAAAACTTGGCTCTTTAACTTTAATATTTGCATGTTATTGTAATTGGAGAATTGGGCATTTTTGTGACTGCGGCTTAATATGTCTATGATCTCATCCAAGTTCAATCATTTGAGGTGTATTCTTAACAGCGAGCCCCAATAAAACATTTGTTTTTCCTTTTTGCGCTTGAATAGTTTGTAATTTCAAACAAGAAAAACCTTAGCAGTCAAAAAAAAAATCACACAGAAAGTGTAAAAGCAATACAAAATAGTTTGCAGAGCTCATACAATTCTTCCATGTGCGATGGTGGAGTAGCAAAATTATGTGAGTAAAAGGAGCATTAATTCCATGTGGTCTTTAGACTGCTTTTTGCAAAATGCAAATAGGAAAGCTTTTGGCGAGTGGAATTTAAGGTTTTCGGAGGGCCTGTATACATTAATGTTTCACCATAGCTAAGCCACTTGTGATATGATTGCCAAAGTGTCAGAGTTGCATTGTCCTTTAAACGTCTGCCTTCTTTTTATGCTTCTTTTGTAAAACTGATAAGCAGTAGTGTAATCTACCATCGTCCTAAACTCAACACCTGCCTTTGCTTGATATCTAAATTATACTCAAGCTTCTGCTTCCATGTTATCATAATTTTCATCTTTTTCAAAGTCAAACTTATAGATTTTATTACAAAACTAAAATCAAACTTGGGCATTTTGTAAGAGGGAGAAAGAACTTGCTATGGTTTGGTCTGGTTTGCCATTGTTTGTCATTGCTATGTCACTACTTTTCAGGTAAGAAAATTTTTTTATACCGGAATAATGCCCTGCAATTTGACAGCAAATTCTCCTGCCAAAGCACTGTTTCCAAAAAGTTTGAGGGCTCCCTTCACCCCCTGCCATTAGTCTCGCCCCTTCATGCAGAGGTGAAAATGCTTTAACTTACGCCAAACTCCAAGTCTTTGACTAAATTTCATATCAATGTCATCAATTTGGATAGATCAAGACATATTTTCATTAAGTTTGATAGAAAGGTATTGGAAGATGCCTGTAATTTCTAAAACCTGTGCGTTGACCGCCAATGAAAGTTTACAAATAAGTTGAGTTTTATGCAGGCTGCTGAAGATTATAATTTTGAGGTTGTTATTGAAGTATCTCGGAAGCATATGGGATTAGCTTTCAGCTTTTCTTCAAGATGTGACAACATAGAAGAAGACAAAAAAGAACTGATGGTCACATTACACTTCTTATTATAGGATGGTAAACTATTTACACTTAAATGAAAAATTGATTAGTTCCATTGGCACTCCGTCGATGGACTCCGACTGTGACATACTTTGAAGAAGTATCTACTCTTTAAAAAAAAGGCATGACCTAAAAAATTTTATACTTGAAACCATTTTAAAGTTGTTCTACAATTGTACACAAAAATAATTGCTTTTCAAGAAAAAACAACGGGTTTGTTTCACAACTGAAAAAATGTAGGCAGTCCCAGGTGTCAAACCATAGCCCATAATGCTATAAAACAGTGTTTGAATAGGCAATAGATTGAGGAACATTTTGTAGACACCTAACTGTTTCTGTAGTAATCATTGCTTGTGTGTGGTCAAAGGACTTAAACGTGACAGTTCAATACGCAGTTCTCGAATATCTGGCGTAAAGTCTGTCACAAAAGGTATTTGTAAATCATCCCTAACTTCTTTTGCTTTTTCTACATATCGTGTAGCCAAGAGATAACAAATGACATTTGAAAATCTACCATCTATTTTTAGAAACCTCTGTAATCCTTCTGTGTCCTTTTGTTGATTGTACACTATGACTATAAAAATATTTTAATGGGTAAACAAAACTCAAAATTTCAGCCAATTATGAATGAGCATTGTCTTTGATTTTGTCAGGAGCAATGTAGAGTATTTACTTTCATGATTAAGAAGTTTTTTGTGAAGCCACATACTATCATATGAAACACGTCGAAGATTGCTTCTTTGCTGATATCCAAATGACTTGTTCATCTTCGTAATGCTTTAATGCGTCCTCAAAACGTGTTTCATTTCTAATACAGAGGCGTAGGTAAAACGTTAATTGGGAGGGGGTGATGTGTATTCATACATTAAATTGTACCTTACTGATTTCTTTTGAAATCCAAATCACTTTGAAAAAAAACCAGTAGCATTTTATACCATATAATTGTAGGGAAACCACCGGCTTTAATGGACCAAACTAATCCAGACTGGGCTCCATCTCAAAACTTTGGACTTTAGAAAACACTGCCCTAAACTTGTTGCCATCATCGAATGCTTTCAGATTTTTTGGATGGTGCATTAAATCCTCTTTCTAGGGCACACACTTACTCATGCTACAAGCACCACAACACAATTAAGTACTTAATTGCTGTCACTCCCCAGGGTACAGTAACCTTTATTTCCAGTGGCTGGGGAGGAAGGGTCAGTGGCAGACATTTGACTGAGAAATGTGGTCTCCTTGATAAGCTCTTACCTGGAGATGTAATCTTAGCTGATAGAGGCTTTGATATCCAGGAGTCAGTCAATTTGCACTGCGCAACTGTCAAGATGCCAGCTTTTACTAAGAGCTAAAAAACAGCTCAGTGGAATAGAAGTTGAACAAACTGGGCGAATTGCTAATGTGATGATTCACTTGGAAAGAGTGATTAGAAACATTAGAAAGGAATATGCACTTCTGAGTTTAACTTAGCCAATTGATTTTGTCAATTCTAAAGAGAATGAACCTACCACGATTGACAAAATAGTTATTTTTAGCTGTGCACTAATTAACATTTGTGATTCTGTACATTATG